ACAAGAAGCAAACAGGTTTTATAAATAGCTAAAAGGTATAAATATGTTAAATTTCTAGTTATTAAAGCTAACCTTATAAGCATACACATTTCTGAAATTCCAAGCAGATTTATTAAATTGCTGTTTTCTTTGAAAAGTACATAGAAAGCAAATTAAGTGACTTTCTACAAACCAAAGTTTGCTTTGTTATATAGACTAGTAGACTCAAGTCCTTCTTCCTGCCATATTCAATACAATAAATCAGGTTGTAATTAGGCTACAGTTAACAGACTTATGTGTAACATTGTGCTGTGCCTTGTAGACTCTAAGCTTTGTTACAAATGGGTCTGTAGCAGATCAATCCTGATGAACTTTGAACATTTTTCTCGTGGATCTGCTGTTAGCTGGGATGTTATCCTGAATACTTAGCATGATGGAGTCATGTCTCTATTGGATCAATTAACTCGTTTGCTTTTCTCTCTAAATCATATTTGGGGTCAGTATATAATGTGCATTTGCAGTGGAAAGCTGCAGGTGTTTTGATTCCTTCTTTAAGCTTTAATTTCAGCTGCTGCTTTTAATTTGCTGATGTGGTATGAAGTTTATTTGCAGTATTTGCATATAATTTTAATGATTGTGTGCTACAGTCTTACTATCACTTTTACCAGATTTAAACTATATTATAATCCTGTTCACAGTTTCATGGCCTTTGGAGTCATTCGTGTGAGTAAAGAAAGGAACGAGGTCAGATTAAGGTCTGCACTACAAATTCTGAAAGGGGATGCTTATCTGTATAAACTCTGATTACATTGGAATGAAAGATGAATTAAGCAGTGTTCAAAAGCATGGAAAGCCATTTTTTTTCCAGGGCTTAACATTTATAAAAATATTTTTGAAAATGTATCATCATTACTTAAGGTGTAATTTGAACAAAATATTTCTGCTTTGCAGATCTGGCAGAATAGGCTTTAGACAGGCTATTTGCTGAAGGCATTTTGTTGTGCTTCAGCAAGTTAAATTCATTTTTTTTCACTTAGGAAAATTAGCTGACAATTATGCTCAGTGCATTCCAGATGCATAAAAATCAACTTGTTGCAGAGAGTTTAGGCTGTACTGAAAGCAGTTCCTTGAGCTGTACAATTCTGTTACCCACCACAGTGATCATTGGGGAGCACATCTGGTTGGAATTGAAATCAATTTTGAGAAATGATGCCCAGTTTTGGTCTCTGGGCAGAATGTTAATATGGATTGGTACAGACTTTTCTGTGCATGTTTTACTTGTGAAAGAACATTTGGTTCCAATGTGGAATCCACGTGGCTTCAAGCATACGCTTGTACACATCTGTTGGTATGGAACTGTGATGGAAGGTACTTTTAGAGGTCATCAGGTATAGACTTAACCTCAGTCACACCTTGCTCTTATTCTATCAATAACTGTTAATTGCATGTAAGTTGGTAGCATCTCCTGTATATTAATCTTCTGTGGGATGTTGCATGCTGGGGATACAAAGGATCCCTAGGAACCATTCACTCACTGTGAACGTGGGAGATCTCAGTCACTGGCTACAACCTGCTGCCAGGCTGATTCCCCTCTTGAGAAAGGTCAGTGTTTAATGCATATGGCTGAATGAGTAAAATTGTCATCTTCTCTAAACCCTGTGGTAAATGTTAAATCCATCATTCAAGGAGGTGAATGACTTCTTTAGGAACAGAAACTGAAGCTTTTCTCATAACTCTTCATAAAGGTTTAGTGAGATATTTCTCCAGTTTTCTTGCTGGGGTCCCTGTTCTATAAAGATGGTGTAAAAGACATGGCAGCTATATCTGTTTTCTGAAGAGAAATACAGATGAGTGAAATTACATGTTTGTAAACAGAAAGCTGTACTGGTTTTGAAGAAATTCAGAGCCCTTGGTGCATTTATTTCTTAAAGGCTCCAAAAACTCATATGCTGGGAAACGGGTCTGATAAAGCAGCACATTACCCATTTTCACTTCAAAATTTTCATTTTTCATCAATAGATTTAGAACTGTGCTATGATGATGCTTCTGTTGATCACTAAATATTTAAAGGAAATACTTCTTAAATGTCAGCATGTTATATATGGCCAAGATTTTAATCAGAGCATCAAAAAGATGGATTAAGAAAGACTTTCTACTCGCTCGTGCATAACATAAATTCTAGTGTAGTCACAGAAACAGAGTCTGTCTGTGTCTGTGGCAGCAGGTAAAATATTCATGTAAGTGAAGCTGAGGAAAATGAATCTGAACGCTTGGCAATTTTTAATTGTTTCATGCAACAGAACATGATTAGATATTTTTTTTCTATAGAGAAATGAATAGAAATTGAATGCACTTTAAATATCATGTTAAACATAACCAAATACTTAAAACTGGTCACATTTCTGACATTCAGAAGTGTTGCACTGAGATATAAGGGTGAACATAAGAGCATGTGAATAGGTTGTTATACTTGAAGATGAAAGTTTAATGAATTGAGATTTGATTTTTCACATGAAGGCAATTAAAATAGGATATGTTCCATGCTTTCACCGAATTTGGAGCTACTTTTTTTTCTGTCAAAAACGAGGGGGGTCCAACTTTCCTCCAATTTGTTCTCTCACTTAAGTTGCAACCTTTACAGATCTGTGTGATGTTCCATGAATTATTCTTCCAGTGTTTCTGTTTGTTTATGTATATAAAAGCTTGGCATAAGGAATGTAGAACTGACTATCAGCTGTATCCAAGAGGAAAATGGGGTACACCCATTTCCCCACTAAGACAAAAAGTATCTGCAGGAATAAAACAAATTAAGATAAACTATAGGGAAAAACCTGAAGAAGAAAACCAGTCCTCTGCTGTCCATCAGCAACTTGGGTGCACCTTATGAGCACGTTCCTTGTTGTGCCCCTGGATCTGCCTGTGGGGCAGCCATCTCTTTCCCCCTTGGAGCACATTTGTCTCTGACAGTGGCTGCAGAAGCACAGGTGTTCTAGATAGCTTTGGGGAAAGTCAAAAGATTGTAGTTGTCCTGTTGCTGAAATTAACTTTAGTTCCCAGCGCAATACTTTAAGTGAATGATCTTTGTGTTTGATATAATGATGCAAGCTGTGGTAATACTTAATATTGTGATGGACAGATGTAGATAATTATAGAAAATGCTTCTGTAATTAAATCACCCAATTCCATTAGCTTATAAGCATTTACTTCTTAGCATAACTAATAGAAATTTTTGGGGGGATCAATTAGGATATAAAAGCATGTTCCGTTTCTGATCTGGAAAGATGAGTATTCAGGAACAGAAATTAAGGTTCTGACATTCCAGATTATAAATCCAATTCAGAAAGGAGATAAAAACATTGGGTTTTCATAGAAAAGCTGCTTGAGCAAGAAAAATAATCCTAAGAAATGAACGAAACTACAGATCCCATAACATGAAATGCCTGAGATAGCATGACCCATGGAAATTAAGTACTTTAGAATACTGTGGAGCTTATGGCAATGACTGAGAATAAGATGTTCCTGGAAAGCTTCTCATTACTTGGATTAGTGTAATGTAAAATCTTTATTAGACTGAATTGGTATTTAGTGTAAAACTTCAGGCTCCTAAATAAAATAGGAAAATAAGACTTACTTCTGTCAAATTATATAAATGTTTTATTGTTAAGGAAATTTTTGTGAGGCTTAGGACAGAAGCAAAGGAGGATTTATGGATATATGAGCTGGGAGGTGTACTCCCATAACAGGAGGGACTTTACGCAAATGATGGCCAACTTTTCACTGCTATGACTATCTTCTGCCCACACCCTCTCAAGAAAATGGTTTAGCCTGGTAATGGGTTCATTCCTGTTTTTGGTCCAAGTGAATTCTATGGTACAAAATCTGAGAAACATCTAAAATCATGATGTTGAGATTCTGAATAGCCTTTCTGAGCTGAAACTCCAAAACAGAAGACAAATCACTTTTTCAAGTTCTTTAATTTCCATTGGGATTGGACCTCTCAATAACTTCATGGACAATGGCAAATTGGAGAGAGGTGTTGATAATCAAGAAATTAAGCCATTTCTCTAGAGGACTTATTTGACCAGCTCTGTTTGTGGCATGTATTGGTAAGGAAATGAGGGTGCTCATTGGCAATGACAGACTTTGCAATTTTAGCACGCAATCCGTGTGCAATCTCATTGCTAACCTAGAATCATGAATTATTTATTGTTAGTGAAGTGAAAATAAATATTTTAATTTATTTTTCTTGACTTGATTTAGATTCCTAGCGTAAATGAAAATTTCCATTTCAGTTTTTTTGGTTTTGGCCATATCTCTGAATGGAGATTCTGCATCTTCTCTGGGCAGCCTGTGACAGTATTTACCACCATCATAGTGAAAGTGTGTGCTTTTATTTTCATGTGGAACTTCTGGTATTTCAGAATGCAATTTGCAGACTCGTTCAAATTGTCCATCAGGGCCTCCCAGGTTCTTTCCAACCTTTTTGCCCATGTTTGCAGTGCTTCATGGGGTTATTCCTTTTTGGGTGCAGGAGGATGTGATGGACAGAATAATACATATGAATGCAGACACCAAAGGAAAATGTTTTTTCCTTTACTGCCTTCAGCTCCCAAATTGTACTTAACCTTTTAGTAAGAATCTGTCTTGTTTTCACATATTTCAGCATGGTGCATTTTTTTTGTATGCTTTTTCCCATCGTTCATTTTTCATCTCACACGGTAGCATCTGTCAGTGTCATCTTCCCAGGCCCCCAAGTATGAAATGTGATTGATTTTTCCTTTCTACCAGACATCATATTTTAAATGTTGCTGCTTTTGTCCTTCTTCCTCTTTTGTCCTTTAAAGTTTCCAGAGTGTTATCAATTTTTGTATTTCTCTATTTCACATTTACTGGTTGCTGTCACTTCTAATCTGGTGCTCATGCTTAGAACACTCATCTATTTTTTCTCATAAACATTTTATTTTCTGCAAGGTATAGTTATTTCTCTTGCCTGACATTTTTCTCATTGCTTTCTTTGTCAGCTCCTAAGAATTCTGTCCTGAGTCTGGGAGGAAAGTTGAGATTTCTGAACACAACATGGAGAAGATAAGCTTAAGTTTTGGGTTAGAACTTTTTGGGGAAATCATAGAAAAAGACTACTGTCAAACAGGTGAGGAAGAAAGAGCTGCACATGAAATAAAGTTGCATTTTCAGGGGCTTTTCATACTTGGAGCGTATCACTCTGCCTTATACTGACTGGTAATGAGTTCAGTGTAAGTATTGCACTAGCTGGGTGCAAACAAGATGGCAATTAAACTCATATTGAACCTCTTTCTTGAGATTTCTTGATGCTTACAATCAGGCTTCAAGTATATCTGTTTATGCAGTAGCAGATCTTCACAGGTTTTTTCTTTCCAAACCTTAGGAGCAGTAATAGCTTTGCAAAGACTGTAGGACTTCACACATGCAGTGAGGCAGCTGGTCTGGGGAAGAAGTCACCTCCCTATTTGCTGAAGTTTTGACCTCACTTAACAATGAGAAATGCAAGTCAGCAGCTTGAGATGGATTTTTATTAATTACTGCAAGCTAATTAATAACCAAAAACATATGCACTGTTTGTCTGGTTTGCAAATCTGTGCATCTGCAATGTGCGTTTTCCTGCAGCAAACAACTGTAGAAATGAAATATTGTCATCCTGAACTAAATTTGTAAATCAAAAGCTGTCCTTTATGATGAGACCAAGAAGAAACCTTGAATGTTCATTGCAATTCTGGCCAGTGATCTTTTGTCTGCTATTTGCTGCAGCACATCTACCATCATGCAAGGGTTTTGCTTTTTTTAAAATTATTTTATCAAAGATTTACTAAGAGTCTTTTTGCTTTCCATAAAACACTTATTTTTGAGAGAAGTACAGGTACTTTGCAACACCATCTCAGGCACAGTGTATTATGGTAGAAATGTATTAGTTTGACAGGAACGGATTATTTATTGCCTAAAATGATGGGGTGCACTGGGAACTGATATTCACAGCTAAAGAGCCATTTGCTTGAAAGCAGTTAAATGCAAGGAGGGGCGGGGGTGTAAATACAAAACCACATCCTACTTCAGGGAAAATGTAAAACACTTCTGTTTACCTGGAATGATTTCTGCAGAGATGAGTAGATGTAGACCCCAGCAGTGTGAAGGTTAACAGTGTAAGAGGTGGTTTACTGTGAGCTGCGTTGAGGATGGAGGGGGAGCACTGTCCTGTACAGAGCTCTCCTTGGCAGAATGCAGAGTTATAAATGGAGGATAATAATTACTGCTTATCTAGCTGAATGCACAGTTCTTGTGTTTAATGCTTGTTTACAGGGCACTGTGGAGATGAAAGCTATAGTAAGTGCTGAGTTGCATGATCAATCAGAGAACTCCGTGGTGTTCATGGTGCACATCCTTTTTCAGGAAGAAAAAGGGTAGGGGCTGTAAGTGATTGCTGTTACAACAAAAGTGATGCACCATTGCACAGAAGAAATTATGTATGTGAAGTGCTGAGAAGAGGCAAATATAAACTGCTTATCTTTACGAGGAAGAAATATTCAATATCAGAAGTCTTTATGTGGCTCCAGGGTTAATTTGGCCAAAGCTGAAGAGCAGTTGCAGTGATGAAGCTGATGTGTGGTATTTGTTGCAGGTATCTCGTGTCTCCAAAGAAGTAGTGGAGAATAAACTTCAAATATTTTCTAAAGTGAAGCTATGTAAGAACAGACATGGAAAAAATACAGTGTGTAGTTGTGAGATGACTTAATGAATGACAGATTGTTCGAACAACATTTGAGGTATGGTGTGAATGTGCTTCTAAGTTGAAAAGTACTTCTTTTGAATGTTAAGACTGTTGTACTGAACCATCAGACATCTTATAGTTCAGTAGGTGAAAAAAGGTGACTCACGACTGCGCAGAAGGAATTGTCTGTACACATCACAGAATGCGGTTTCTACTTTAATATGTAGGCCCAATGCCAACCTAACTTTAAAAAAAATTCTCTTACTGTTTTGAAGGTGGGTGAAGATGAGGTATCAGTATAAGATTTGACTTTCGCCACTGAGCTTTTACTTAAAATGATTGAGGTGTAATTCAATAAAGCCTCTAAGCATGTGGAAAAAGATATTTAGCAGTGTTCTGCTGGAGTAGTGCTTGTAACTGTGTCACGTCCCATATCAGTGAAACGGTGCCAAGTTCTAGTACAGAAACTAAATAATTTATTTGCACATTTTTTTTTGCCATTGTTTCTAAAAATTAATTTGTGCTTGTAACATTTTTTTTTTTCTTTTTTTACATTCATTTTCTTCTTTTCTGTTAGGAAGAGCCAATTTATTTAACTGCAGTCTCTGGAGAGACATTAATGAAAATCACAATATTAAAAAAAAAAACAAGAAAATATTGTTCTCATTTTTCATTTTCAGTGCTGCTTGTCTTTTGACATTTATTCTGTTTTCTTTTCATAAATTATATACTTAGGAGAAACTGTCGCAAAACATTTAGATTGAAAATACATATTTTTAATCTTTAGGTTTAATACTGAATTTCAAACAAATTACGACATTTTGCTTCAGTTCTCTGAAAACATACATTAATGCAGCTGTCAAATGTTACCATGAATTAGAAAGCTGGGGTTTCAGCTGGAGCAATAAAAGCATCTGAATAATCCTTTCAATATCTTCTGATGGTTTTACTCCTGAAACGGGATGTAAGAAGATCATGAAAAAAACCCCATATGAATCCGATGTTATACTTTTTATATTTTGGATGAGGAGTCTATAGAAATACAGGGGGCTATGCCAGCAGGTTGTAGATAAGGTTTCATCTCTCACTTAACTCCTCTCCTGTTGCTGGAAAGTGGGTATTCCTTCCAGTGTACTTCAGGATAGAGATTGCAGTGGCAGATATTACTTGGAATGTCTTTGAAATTTGATAATAGTGTCTTAATTTCTCTTAACCTCAGTGAATAGGAATGCAGTTTCTTTAAAGTCTTTAAAGTAGAATGTACCTTTTCAGATGACAGAGCACGGAGCATTCTTGTTAGAGCTCTTTACTTGCTTTCTAATGCTAATCCATGACACCAATTTCCAATTCCTAAATTTCCTATTACTTCAGTGTCTCTAATGTCCCCTTATGATTTTTGAAAGTGTTGTGAATTACTGTTTGTGGACTTGGTGATGATATTGTGACAATAAATAAATATACATTTCTAGGTTAGCTCTTCTCAGTACCTTGTGTTAGCTTGAAAGAAACCTTGTCATCTAGTCCTTTTCAGGACCAGCTGGGCTGACTTTAGGAAAAAATTCAATTCCCTTTAGGTACCTCGCAATTATCAGTGATATTTCAAAGGCTAATAATTAAGAAAATTTATAGAGAAAATTGATTTTTTTTCTTTTTTGAAAGTTGCATGCAATTCAGAGATCTGACAGATGCTAAGCAATCTCTTCTTATTGAATAGTCAACGTGGAAAGGTTTGGAAACTTCACTGCTTTTCATTTCTGCAGAAGGGCGAAGAGGAGTGCATCCAGTCCTTCAGTAAGCATTACAGTTTCATCTAAATGTCTAATGAGACGTCCATGATTGGCTTCAGTAAATGACCATCTCCATACGTAGGCAAGAGTCAAGGTTTGCAGAGAGGCATTGCAGACCTTTTGAAAGCTCTTCTGATGCCCATGTGAGAAAAGCGAGATGCTGAAACGGAGTTCTTGAGTGGATGAATTGTGTAAAATACAGCAATTATTGGTAGTGGTGTACTGTAGGCAAGCAGATTTTTTACTCTTGATTAAGTATCACACATACCTTAAATAAAATTTGGTGTTCTGGTAGCATCCTGCCATATATTGCTAGGCATCTAAATTCTGCCACTTGATATGGAAGGACTGTCAGCACTGCAAATTAGGCTTGGAGGCTTGGCTTGTATGAGTGACTAGGAGACCACTGCAATAGAATAAGGCTCATGAAAGATGGGTAGGGATAGTGTCCCTGTGATGCTCAGGAAATAATGTAGGGTGATGTTGACGACTGCTGCAAAGAAAGGCTTAATTTCTACACAAAGGTACTAGAGAGTAGCCTTTGTTTTAGTTCAACAGCCTCTTTTCTGTTTTAACTGTTTTTCTCTGGGATTTAGCAATTGTTACACTTTCAGAACAGAATGTAACTAGAAATTTAACTTGGAAGTTATTTGCTGGAATCATAAGTGCTAAAAACAGAAATGTGTGGGCTCAGCTCAGTCGTTCCAAAACAAGCAAATCTTTCAGTTATGAAGATGAGGACACTATTTTGTTAATACATTGGGTTTGGTGATTATATAAGAATAATTAAAATAATTTCCATGTATTTGAGGGCAATAGTATTAATATTATTTCTTTCATCCCGTGTAAGTTTGTAATTGTATCTCCATTGTCATGCATGATGTTAACATGAAAACATGCAAATACAGACTGGGAATATATTACTATAAACTTGTGAATGTGTTGCTCATAAAGAATATTAGATTTATATATAATAAATATAGGAACCTGCAGTTCAACAGAACAATCAACTTCAAACAATTATTTTAGTTGCAGTAATTGTGTTCTATTTTAAATAGGCTACAACTCTTGTCACATAAGGAGTGGATTTGAACACTGTTGTACTGTGGGGGAGAGCAGAAAAGCTGTTGGAAACTGAGTTGATTATGCACACCATTTAATTTTGTGCATTTTTATTTTTAAAATATATTCAATAATTGGGGCACCTGTTCTCATTTCTCTGTCATTGCAGGCTGATACAAAAGCCTTGCTTTCCATTGTTTTTTGTTTTTTCTTTTTTTCTGTAATATAATTGGATTTTTGATTATTAGCTTTGGTATTCTGACTGTAAAGTGCTATTGCCAAAAGAGTGGGAGAGTTTCTAGCTCCAGACATGTCTGACTTGACCTCCACTGTTGGAAACAGCTGATCAAACTGTTGTCTTAAGGGTCTTAATCAGTTTGGAAGAAGAGTGACCTCTGCCTCCTTGAGTAGATGAAACAAAGCAGAATGAGGGTGTTCAGCTGTCTTCTCTGATTTGAAGAGGGGAATGCATGGGATCTAAGGAGGCTTTGATCTTCTGGGGTTAACATTCAGATGTTATAGCTCAGGAAGGAGGAGTATCTTTTATTTTTTAAAATGTCAGTATTTCTGTGCCAGTGTCTGAATTGTGAAAACTGAGAAAAAATGGCCTTTTTCTGATGGGCAAAGTTGCATCTTGGGAGCAAGGGTACAAGTGCAGAGCAAATAGTGTCTTCTGTCCCTATCTTAGGGTGGGAGAGCTCACAATTATGGTGTGCGATAATATAGATTTATTGTTCACATGGAAGAGTGGCCAAGAATTATTTGTGGTCTTTTTATGTGATTATTATTAGTAGTAGGACAATGTTTTTTCTCCTGCTTTTGCTTTTCAGAAGAATACACATCTCTTCTGCGTGCATTTCATGCAAGCGTGAGTTCAGATCTATGTTCCCAGTTGTCCTGTTAGAGATAAATGCATTACAGACCATGGGTAATCTCAGCAGTCACAATTACTACTTTTCTTTGTGTTTTCATGA